GTAATAACTAAAATTATAAATCATAATCTCAAGTTAATAAAAATCAATTTAATTAAATTCTTTAATATAACATCGTTTAATAAGGGCAACATTATGTTGATGTCTTATTGAAGAAGGATGATGAGATTAAGAAGGATGATGATATGTTAGTATCAAAAACTTGATTTCATGAAAAAAGATTATTTTTGGCTTTCTTAATAAAATTTCATTTTAAATTATATATCCCTAGACTTTGTTGGTTTATTTACTCATTGTTACTTTTACAAAATAATGTTCTTTGGCTTTAGCAATTTTTAAGTTTAAGCAATTTTTAAGATTAACTCAATTATACAATATAACAAGAAAATCGGACAAGCCAAATTTGTAAAATTTACGATTATATATTTTATTGTTTTAAAATATTAAATAATTTATTTGTATTCTAAATATTACTTAAGAAATTCGGACAAGCCAAATTAAATTTTTTTAAACTCTAATGTATTAAATTATTATATATTTTGACTTGACACATTTACATATATAAAATAATTAAATGGTAAAACAAAATTTCTGAAATTCATATTATTAATAAAAATGATATTATTGACCAAAAAAAATTAACAACAAAAGAATCAATAATAATGTTTATAATAAAAATCAAAAAACTACATATTTCGCATTTTTAAAGACTAAAATTTAAAACAAAACTATATAAATAATTTATCCGCGTGTACGCGGGAGAATCATCTATTATATATATATTTGTATAATATGGTTACGACTTACGATGATTGGAGACTACAAAATTTGTCTCGAGTCTGGTGACTCAGGTGGTTAACCACATAAAGGAGAAAACAATTTTGTCAATTATTGTTAATAGTGGGAAGATGCACGTACGATAATTAACATCTAGGAGGATCTGTTTTTTTTTGTCCTCACAGTGAATAATAATATAGAAAAAGGATACAGTAGTATATTTTTATCCTTAAATTTTATTATGGAATTTATAGAAAGTATTTTTAACGGTCGTCTTTGGAACCCAATGGACATTTATCAACGAGCCAAAAATGAAGCAACAGAATGGAGTGATATTAATGTCTCGGCTACACCACAAAGACGTACAAACTCAGGAGAACCGCATGTTCCAACTTAGTCTCCACCTCCATCCGATTGGTTTAAATTTAACCATGATGCGTGTTACACTCCATCAAGCAATCTCATAGGCACCGGATAGATTATTTGCAACTCCGATGGCGAATTCGTTATCGCATTATCATCTTTCCTACCACAAACTAACTCGGCTCTTGAAGTAGAGGCCTCAACCTACTACACGTCTTACAATTTAACATGGTACCGGAGTTACCGATGGTTAATTTTTGAACTTAACCAACCAACCTACTACTACTCGCTCTTGTTAACTTAATACATGGACGAAGAAGAGACATAGCTATGGAGAATTTGATTAATGATATCCGTTTCTGGATCAATCAAAATGCAGGTGTTTAAGTGGTCCACATTGGGAGAAAGACAAACGAAATACCAGATAAACTTGCGCATATAGAAAAATCTCAATTCTCATCTTGTTGTATTCATAGTTCACCTCCTTTATGCATTCAACATTTTTTTATGTGAGATTGTAAAAACCTTTTCAAGTTGAATGAAACAGATGTTAAAAAAAAAATTTAATATTTGTCAACAAATAGATTTAAAGTTAAGCCATAGATAACATTGATAAAATACCGAAATCACACTAGATATATTAGCTGTTTTTAACTTTTTATATACACTTATAATAGGTTTAAGTGATTTATCTTTAGAATATAATTCATAACAAAAGGTGGCCATGACCTTAGACTAATTACATGAAGCCATTGCGTAAATCTAATCTCACTTTATAATTGATTCAGTTTGAATTAATGTTTTGTAAATTAACCTTCTACCTATGATTTCTTGTCATAATAACCATTGCTATTTTCATATCCCAATTTTAACCTTCAAATTGAATAAAAATAAATTTTTTACAATATTTTCGGAATATATATTTGTTTTTACGAAATTGAAAGAAAAAGAGAATATTCATTTTTGGAAATATTCTTTTTAACATACATAAAATTAAAAATTAAAATTGGAATATGAACAAAAAATTAAAAACAAATAAAAATTAAAAACATAAAAACAAAAAATAAAAAACAGATAAAAATGAAGCAAACTAAAACATTATATTCATATAAATTTTCCATTAAATTCAAAAAATGAAAATATGTTTTAAAATGTGTTTTTTCCAAAAACACTACAAAACATTTGACAAAAAAAACAAATATGTTTTTCCCAGAAAAATCTTCGTTTTTTGGAAAGTAAATATCGAATAAAATATTTTTTGGAAAGTAAATAACTAATAGTCCTACATTTAGGGGATTTAAACTACTTTTGGTATAATAGACTTTCTACCATTTGGTAGAAGATAGATAAAGAGGCAGATAGAAGGGGTAGAATATGCATTCTGCGTAGCGTAGACGACAAAGACATTGGTAGAAATAGCATTCTGCAACTGGTAGTACTGAAACAAAATGGTTGAATGTGCAATCTGCGATATGTAGAACTTGTGCAATTAGTCGAATACTTATTTCTACCACTCGTAGAATGATACAAATTCGCAGAACACCTAATCTACTAGTAGATTCGACCATGGTAGAAGAAAAAATAAATAATTTTCTGTCATAATTTTTTTTGAACAAATATTTAAACATGAATCTATAATTCTTGTACATTACTATTTTCTATTTTTCTGATTTTATAAAATTATAAAAACTATTTTTTGTATTTTCCAATATTAATCAAAGGGTAATATAAAAAAAGTTGGTAAAAAAAAGTAAATGTTATTTTCCCTCAATTTAGCAAAATTCCCAACAATCATTAATCCAAATCACAACCTTCCAATTGGATTGTACAGGACAACCAAATCGTACCAATATTGAAACTACAATAAAAATGGTAGCGGTGCACAATCTTACTTCATTAACTTAAATTTTCACAATACAAAGAAGGAGAATTAAACATCCTCTAAGCTTACTAGCACATAATTGAAACGCAATAGAAAATAGAGCAGATAGATCATCTCAAAAGATGAACAGCGGATCCATACTTCAAATGCGTCAAGATAGTCTTTGCGGCAATGCCGAAAAGTCTCAAATTGGTCACATTCCGATGTGACGTTGAAAAATCGAACTCCTATCTCCGGTAATCGTCGAAACGAACCCGGCTGCTTCTTCTGGTCCCAAATAGACCGCTACACAAGAAAACTGGACGGTGAGAAAATTCTTAAAATTTTTCGGCACATAGCTCGGGACTACATCCACTCTCAAATAGAGGGAAGAAGATCACTACAAGAAAACACAGTTTTAGCGTCGGCAAAATTCGACGCTAATCTGTCGACGCTAAACAGGTTTC